TCTCTCTCTCTCTCTCTCTCTCTCTCTCTCTCTCTCTCTCTCTCTCTCTCTCTCTCTCCCTCTCTCTCTCTCCCTTTCCTTTGTGATAAAGAAGGAATGGAAGAATAGCAGTCGTAAAGAGTGGTTGTGGGGATAGATAAGATGAATAAAGTAGAGAAGAAAAGCAAAAAGATTAAGGAGGAAACAAGAAGAAGAATAACATTCATGTAAAAAAAAGGATTAGTTTTAAACATGCAAAGGAAAAGGTATTCTTATGGAAGCTAATTGCTTCAGTGTCTCTGAGCTAGAGGCTACCTAACTGTTTGCTTGCCTACCTCATTTCTTTCCTCTCTCTCAACCTTCCCTGTGGACCACTCCATCCTACTACATATGCTTTCCCTCCCTTGGCTTCAGAGATAATATTCTCCTCTGGCTATCTCCTGGTACTTATTTCTCAATCTTCTTCATGGCTCCTTGTTCTCTTCCTGAACACTTGCAGGTGTTGCCCAGGGCTCTGTGCCTTTACATCCTCTCCTTTGATGTAAGCTCATTCACTCCAGTGTCTTCGGCTACCACTTTATTGTAGATCATAGATAATGATAAAACTAGAGCTAAAAATCATCTCAGATGTCCTCTAGTCCAGCTCCTCATTTGACAGATTATGAAGAGACCTATGTAGAGATGATTTGAGTCTCTAGATTTGATCTCTTTTCTGCATTCCAGTATCACATCAGCCAATCCACAAACATTTATTAAGTACCTACTATGAAGCTATGCATCAATACAGGACATCTCCATTGGGATGCCCCCAGCATCCTAAAACTCAGCATTTCCAAAACTGACATGTGTCTATCTCCCTAATTTTCTTTCCCCCTAGAGATGTTCCATATTCTGACCCCATTATTTTGACATCACCATTCACTTGGTCTCCTATGCTCAAAAATCATCAATCACATCAATCATCATTTATTAATCACCTACCATGTGCCACTATCTTTGTTTTGTTTTTTCCTCTCCTCACCTTTCATATTCAATGAGTTGCCAAGTATTGTCAGTACTATGCCATAGTATCCTTCAGATCTTGTTTTCTCCCTTTCTCTTTGTTCCCAATGCCATCACCCTTTAAGGTTTCATTGCCATCTGCCATAACTACTGCAAGATCCTCATGGTAGGCATCATTGCTTTGCTTCTTTTCTCCTTTAATCCATACCTTTTTTTTTAAAATCAGGGTTAATAAACAGAGTAGATTGGGTTGATGCTACGGACATAGTACACTTGCATTTCAGCAAAGCATTGACAAAGTCTCTTCTTGTGGACAAGATGAAAAGATGTAGTTCAGCTAAAGGGTTTTGGAATTGGCTGAATGGATGGACCTAAATAATGTCAGGAATGGATTGATGCCAACTTGGAGGGAAGTATCCAGTGGTATGTGACAGGGAAATATCTATTCTTGCCCCTGTGCTGTTCAACATTTTCATTAATGATATGGAGAAAGGCAAAGAGTGCTTTTCAAATTTATACATGGTACAAGAAGATAGAATCAAGATCTAAAAAGTTCTTGACAAGCTAGAACACTGGGGTGAATCTAATAATATGAAATTTAATGGGGAGGAATATGGAGTCCTATACTTGGGCTCAAACAATCAATTTTCTAAGTATGAGATGGGGGAAGCCTGGACAGAAGTTAGCCTAAAAAAGATCTGACAGTGTTAGTAGGTTACTTGCAGCATAGTAAGTCAACATATGAAATGGTAGTTAAAAAAAAAAGCAATTTTAATCTGCATTAAGAAAGAAATAGTGTCCAGAAGGAGGTAAATGATAGCCCTATAGTCTTCTGCCCTGGGCTGACAAAACAGCATCAGATTTTCTTTCTCCTTTATCTAACACATCTGAAGTATCGTATTTCATTACAGGCACCACAATTTAGGTAAAACAGTGACAAGCTGGACTTTACTCAGGAGGGTGACTAAGATGGTGGGAAACCATGCAATAGGAGGATTGCTTGAAGAAGCTAGGAGTGTTTGGCCAAGAGAAGGGAGGACTTAGAAAAAAAATACAACAGCTGCCATCAAGTATTTGAAAAATCTGTCATATGAAAGAGAGCAGATTTGTCCTGCGTGGCTTTAGGGGATAGAATTAGGGCCAATTGGTGGAGGCCACACAGAGACAGAGTTAGGTTTAATGAAAGGAAACACTTTCTGATCACTAGAATTGCTCAAGGGCCAGCTAAGGGGCGCAGTGGATAGAGCACCGGCCCTGAATTCAGGGGCACCTGAGTTCAAATCCGGCCTCAGACACATAACACTTACTAGCTGTGTGACTCTGGGCAAGTCACTTAACCCCATTGCCTAGCCAAAAAAAGAAAAAAGAAAAAGAAAAATAGAATTGCTCGAAAGTGGGATGAGTTGTCTCTGAATAGAGTGTGTTCCCCAGCACTAAAGGTCTTAAAGCATAGTCTACATCAGTGGTCCTCCAACTTTTTAATAGCAGGATCCCTTTACACTCTTAGAAATGGATGAGGATGCTTTTATTTATATAGATTATAGCTGTTGATATTTACTGTATTAGAAATTAAAACAGGGGCAGCTAGGTGGCACAGTGGATAGAGCACCGGCCCAGAAGTCAGGAGGACCTGAGTTCAAATCCGGCCTCAGACACATAACACTCACTAGCTGTGTGACTCTGGGCAAGTCACTTAACCCCAATTGCCCCCCCCCAAAAAGAAAAGAAAACATCTTGGTATTATCACAAAAAAATAGTTTTGACCTCACAGACACCCTGAAAGGATCTCAGGGACCTTCACAGGTCATTGGACAGCACTTTGATTAGATGATTACTAATTGCGAATATTGTACAGGAGATCTTTCAGATTCCTTTCAACTCTGAGATTCTGTCTGATTCTGTGGAATGGGAAGACTGATTATGCAGCTATTAAACTAGTCTAGATGTGAGATAATGAGCAGCTGAACTGGAGTGATAGCAGACAGACGGATGGGATAGATATTGCAGTGATAGAATTGATAGGACTTGGTAACTGACAGTATTTGTGGGATGATGAAGAAGGATGAGTTAAAAATGACTCTGAGGTTACTAGACTGAATGACTTTAGAGAGATGATGGTGCCACTAATAGAAATCAGGAAATAAGGAAGAGTAGCAAGTTTGGAAGGAAAAATGAGTTCATTTTTATACATGTTGGGCTGGAGCGACCCATGGAACACAGATGGAGATGGTGAGTAGTGAACATATTAGAATGGAGTTCAGGTAAGAAGTAAGGCTAGAGACACACATTTGAGAGTCATCTGGACAAAGATGAGAGATAGAAGAGAGAGTCTTAGGAAGGAGGTGCTACAGAAAAGTCAAGGAGGATTCACAGTGAAAAAAAAGTCCCTTGGTTTATAGTTAACTTTCATGTGAACAATCTGAGCAGAGTAATGCAAACAGGAGCCAGCTGCCAAAGGGTTGAGGAGTGGTTAGGAAGCAGAAGCAGTGAATATCCTCTACTCTTGAGAAAAGCCTACTTTTCTAACCCAAGCATCTGAATGACCCATAGGTATTATGTCGGGTCTCTTGCTAGAAAATAGAGAAGGAGGTCAGATAATTTAGCCTTCCAGATATCACTCAATATTAAATTCTTTCTAAATAATAAGAAAATTGACAAATATCAAGAATTTATTTCTGAACCATAAAAAATCCAAAACAAAAAAAAAATAGTTTCTATGCCTCTGGAAAGTGTGAGCATGCAATGTCAAGTCGATACTGTGGAATGAATCACTTTATTCTTTGGGAAGGGCAAGAACAAGCCCAGTAGAAAGATGGAAACAAGGTAACACACTCTCAGGGGCCCAAGCTCTCCATCACTGAAGTGTACTATAAAAGGAGACTTTTTCAAGATCCAGTTTATACAATTCTATCTACCTGCTTGTGTCTAATGATAGCCATCTCTAGGATGGGGGTTGGGAAGAAAAGTAAAGAATTTACATGATAATTTTGTTGTGTATTTGAAAAGAATAGGAAGTTGTGCATAGTAGATTTGCAGTTTCACGAACAACCATCTTTTTATTGTACTTATATTATGGAAATGCTTGTTTTATTCCATAAATTAAAAATAATTTTTTTTTTAAAAAAGGGTAAGAGAAGAATCTCAAAATTGCCTCAGAGGTGAGCCTCATAACCAGCTCTGAAAGTTGGGTAGAGGCCACATTCTACTTGTCCCCATTCTAGCAGCAGGAAACTGAATCAGAGCAACTTCCTAAAGGTCACGTGCAGTGAAAATTGCATTGGAGTGTCGGAAAGAACTCTGGCCTTTATCTAACTAGACCACACTGTTTCTCCAAGTCTTTTCCAAAGCAGATATTATGATCAGATGCAACAGTTACGTACTTACAGGGACATGAAGTAAAGCCTTGGCCTCAGTTTTCTTCATGTTATTTCCTTCTAGTGGGAGACGCTCTATTTTCCCAGTCTGGGCAAAGAGTAAGTGTGTCCCAGGAGGGAGAGGGATTACAGCTGGAGGAACCGAAGGTCCAGGGTGGACTGGAGGAGCAACTGTGCTCAGACCTAGGTAAAAGAAGGTGATAATCAGTTCCAATGCAATGGTTCAAAAGAGCCCACAGCCTAACAATAGGCATTTATTTGTTAAGAAGATGTAACTATGTATGAGTTAAACATGAAAGACAAACTGGAAAAGATGACCTGGTTTCCCTCTATGTTGAGTTCCAAAGGAATATGAACAGAGAGGGAATAGTATTGATCAATGGAAAATGAACTGGCTCGGAATTCAGAGGTCCTGGGTTCAAATCCTGCTTCTGATAATATTTGTGTGACCTGAGGCAAGTCACTTAACCTATCTAGCTGTTAGCTTCCCCAATTCTAAAAAGAAGGGGTTGAATTACAAGGCCTCTAGGATTCCTTATAGCTTTAGATCTATGATCCTATGACCAACATGAAAGGTGTAATTATAGCATTGGGGCTGACAACATCAGAGTAACTTTTCTCTGTGTTAGAAGACTGGTGAGTTTCAACCCCAAGCAAGAACAAATAAAATGTACAGTCATCCTTTGTCAGTTATGGTGGTCATCTTGGTAATTTCATTAATGTATTTAACAGAGGGACCAAGGCAAGAGGGACAAAGAAAAATTAAATTAGTGTTGTTTGCTACTCAACCCTTTTGGTAAAGTGTTTGGTGTCAGACTAGGACGAGATTAGTAGTTCATGAGAGGTTCTGGATTATCTTGGGACATTCTATGTGTCTTCTACATTATCACAGGTAATCAAAGGTTGACTTTATTGGCTTTCAGTAACTGGAGTGCCATTTATGATAGAATTAAGGGATTTGAGAGTGTAAATGGTCATTATTGTCCATCTCCCTTAATTTAGAGAATACAAAAGTCGGGCAAAGAGAGGTTAAGGGTCCAGTGCTACATAACACTGCCAGTTAGAGGCACAGCTAGGACTCAATGCAGGTCTCATGATTCCAAGTCCATGACTCCACCTCACCATTGTATTGTGAATTCAAGCTCATTGGGAACTTTTATGGCTTTACTTTGTCTTTGGAAAATCTGCTCAGTATCTAAAAGGTCTTAAGATACAGATAAAAACCAAACAAATGACGTTAGATCACTTACTGAGACTCAACAGCTATCAACTCCCACTCATCTGAGCAAGCAAGGCATGAGGTGAAGGTCTAAACCAGGCTCTACAGATCTATACACTCTGATCAGAGCTGCTGACAGGCCAGTAGTAGAAAAGAATTTAAAAACCCTGGGCTTTTAGTTTCTGAAAGTTCACAACAGGGAGCCCTTAGCATGATTACTATCACTAATCCCAATTACAATGAGGGAGAAGAGTCAGAAAGGTGAATATCTAAAACCAAGGGTTAAATAAAATCCTTCAATTCATTAGCTAAAGGGCATTCTAATGATTGGAACACTTAAACTTTTTAGGATAATTTTATGGTTGAAATTTTTCTTAAGACACCATGAGTGAGTATGTGTTTATGTAGAGCAGTAATTCTTAAAGAGGAGTCCAGGGACATCTAGGGGTCCTTGAAATCCTTTCAGGGAGTCTGTAAGGTCAAAATTATTTTTATAATAGTACTAAGATGTTTTAATTTTTAATATGGTAAATATTGATAGGTATAACCCAATAATTTTTAAGAATGTAAAGGGGCTTTGAGACCAAACAGTTTGTGAATGGTGCTGATGGAAAGGATAGTTGGAGAGTGTGGTAGGAGGTAGACTTGGCAAGTGTACCAGTTCAGGGTTGGAACATCTGATAGATACAGTTGGTGGGTATTGAAACGGGTCTTTGTCTTTAATTAGATCTGTATTAAAACATCACGGAAGCAATAGCTTCAGAAATTTAGTACAGAAAGGGACATTGAAAATCACCTAGTCTAAGATCACCCCTATTTTACAGAAGAGGAAACTAAGGCACAGAACACTTAAGTGACTTGTCCACTTTCACATAGTATTGTAGTAAGTGACAGAGTCAGGCTTTGACTCTGGGTTCCCCGATTCCAAAATCAGCAGTCATTGAATTGAACCATGTTAGTTTCTACTGCATAGCCTGATAAAACCAGGTTCACTTGTGTGATATGAGGAGTTTTCTCATCCAAGACCCCTGAGTTTAAAGTTAACAACTTACATGGGGGTCTCATTCCAGGGCCGGTCCTGGTGCCATCAATCTCATTGCCATCTCGATCCACACACCAACAGTACCCACTGGAGTGGTGGCACTGCATTGGTACATAATGCCCATGTTCATCACATTCTGGAACAAACTGTCCTACAGGTCTGGGCCATCTTGGGTCAGTGGCACCCACTACTCCTAGAACATGTTCTCTTTGACGCTGGCATCTGGTTTTCTCTACTTCTGTTAAAGAGTTAAGAAGAAAAGGTGGTAGTTGGCACTGCTAATAACCAATCTGTATTTTTATTGAGCACAGAAAAAAAAAAGTTTCCATTACTTCCAAATTGAAGCATTATAATTATAGTTTCATTGTTGTCTGGACTTTTAAAAAAAAAGATTTTAAAATTTTCTTTTAACTTTTGTCTTATGTTGTCACAAGCTCTTGATTGTGTAAATCAATTTAATTCAATTTAACAATCATTTATTGCATCAAACCAAGATCAAATGTACTGGTGACAAAATGTGAAATGATTTTTTTCCTGACATTTGTATATTCTTCCTTTATCAGATTAAGGCTGCCTGTAACTGCTCAGTTACACAGCTAGGATCCCAATATAGAGAACTGCACACTTTCATTTGCTGGAAGAAGGGATGAGACTTTTTTTTTCCCCCGGATCTCCACCATTTGCTAAATAATGCTAATCCCTTCCTGTTACCTGGTATTTACTTTGTATATACTTTCTTTCTACTTATGTGGATACATGCTTTCCCTGGGAGACTGTAAGACTGTAAGAAAGATGATTTCATCTTTGTCTCCATATCCTTTGTGCCTAGTACCACCACTTAAAACTACTCAGAGTTGACTGGCATTTTTACTGTGTCAATCTGATGGTCTGTGACCTGCGGCTAATTATCTGTGTCTCGTGCTGTGCTTTAAATGAATGTCAGCTGTGGTGCTAGTGAACTCTTGTGTGCTTCCCTGACTATTAAGCAATGGTTTTCGTGTAAGCATGCTTACTAAATCTGTAAGAGAAAGATGGGAGTGGTGGGAAGAGATGGGCTTGGCCACTGTAGGGCTGGAACATCTGGCAGAAACGACTGACTGATAATGAAATAGGGTTGATAATTAAAACAGATGTAAGTATGCACACACAAATACCACTGCTTGACAGTCAACAGAAACACGTGAGAGAGACACATATTCTATACCTTATGTCCATAAGACATCTTGGCCTGACTGTTACACATTAATGCTAAAAAAGAGACAGTCAAAGCAGATCACCTTCCCTATCTGCCCTACTCCTAGTTCCTAACCACACTACCTGACTGGGTTTCCTCTCTGGTCTTAGAGTTAACTCTTTTGTTTTATACATACAATATTTTTTTGTTTTTTTTTAAATTATTTTCATTTATTTCATATTTCCCAATTACATGTAAAAAGAATTTTAAAAATCTTTTTTTAATTTTGAGTTCCAAATTCTCTCCCTCCCTCCCATCCCTACCCCTTGAAAAGGCAAGCAACTTTATTTTGATTATATATAACCCTTATGATGATGATGATGATAATGATGACAACAAAATAATAATAACAAACTCACTTATATGCCACTTTAAGGTTTAAAAAGTACACAGAAGTAATAAAATTGAAATTTATATTAGCATTTTATAATTGTGAAACATTTTCATATATAGTAACTCAACATCACAACCACCTATGTGGTAGAAGCTACATGTATTATTATCTTAATATTACAATTTTTTTAAAAAAATTGAGACTAAGAGGTTAAGGAGTTTGCCCTGTATCACATGGATAGCAAATATCACAGCTGGGATATGAATCTATGACTTTCTGTCCAGTGCTCATTCCACTATTCCATTCCAATGCTTCTTACATACATTTCCTTTATCTATGCCTTTTTTCTCTTTTTTCTTATTTAAATAAAATTAAAATTAAATTTTACTTTATTTTCAAATGAAGATCTGCTTTCTCTCCCTTCTACCTCCTTTCCTCCTGCTCCATCCCCATTGAGTAAGCAAGAAAAAGAAAATCCCTATAAACATGTGTAGTCAAGCTAAACAAATTCCCATATTGGCCAAGCATGTCCAAAAAAATGTTTCAAATCTGCATCCTGAGGCCATCATCTCCCTATCAGGAGGTGGGCAGCATGTTTCATCATGAGTCTTCTGAAATTGTGGTTGGTCATTATGTTGAACAAAGCTCCCAAGTCTTTCACAGTGGTTTGTTTTTACAATATTGTTGTTATTGTACCTAAATTGTTGTGGTTCTCCTCAACTCACTCTGCATCAGTTTATATAAGTCTTTCCAGGGTTCTCTGAAACCATCCCCTTTATCAATTCTTACATCACAATAGCATTCCATCACATTTATAGATTGTAATTTGTTCAGCCACTGCCCAATTGATGGGCAATCCCCTCTCTACTTTCAAAGTTGTAGATCATTCAATTCAATGAAATCCAAGAAACTGTGTGCAAAGCACTGTTCTAGGCCCTAAGAGAGGAACAAAACTGAGATGGGATATTATCTTTGCCCTTGTGGAGTTTACATTCTAATAAGAAGTTGTTGATGTTTTAATATAGTAGGAACTTAAGACCTAGTAGGATGATTACTCTCTGGTCATTTCTTAACTGGACTATTACAACATCTTCCTTCTTATCACTTTTCCTAACTGATCCTTTCTGCCAAAGTTGTCTTCTCAGACCATTATTCTGAACAAAGCATGCTTCTTTTGAAATCCCTGTGATGGCTATTCCTTGAAGTAAGCATCAATTCTGCCTGAAGTCCTCACCCTCTATATCAAGTCCTCCACAGCTAGAACAACCTCATAAGCACTTAAACTTCCCTTCATCAGATTTTTTTCCTCCTAAGTTGCAATCTAGGCCTCGTTATCTGAGATGTTCCCCCTTCAATCATTCAAATAGCCCCTTAAGTTCTCTTCCGTGAAATCTTCTCAGATTGATTCATGGACAAGCAACAATTTCTTGATACTTATCCAAACAGAGGCACAGTAATAAGAACAGAAAGACATTTTAAAAATAATTTTTACAAAGACTCGAAATGTATGTTTCATATAGATTTAGTATCAGCATTCCATAAAAATATATGTATGTTATATACTTCAATCCTTCAAAATTTCATAATTTTCCATCATGTGAGTAATTGTTCACCAACACACCTCCCCTCCATGCCTTGGTAGAAGGTAGTTGTGGGCTGGTTAATGTCACCTATTAGCCAGCCTTCTGGTAATGAGAATTTACCTAAGTAGGTACTCAGATTCCAGGTGAGTAGATACTCACCTAGGCTGAAGACTATTTCCAATGATGACCTACGTGCAATCAGTGGTGTAAAGGATGTCACGCAGAAATGTAGAGTTGGAACAGAAAGTAGGCCACTCAAAGTCAACATAACAAAAGTTAGGGACAGCAAAAGATGAATAGCCTGAGTACTGACACCCACAAAAAGCAAAAAAATTCCAGCCCCCAAAAAAAGTATCTAGCACATTGGGTCAATCCTCTGGAGGATTTAGGGGAGAAGGCAAGCAAAAATCCCACAGAATAAGAAGGCACAGATGAGCTATTAGTGCTCTTGTGGGGAATACCCCCCTCCCCCTCATCTCTATGAGATCGTGCATCCACTGAATGACTTAAACATTAAGTTCCTCAGATAACAGTCATTCACCGGGTTGCTATTAAAGGCCTTTCCAGTTTGTATCTGGCAGTTTAGACTTAGTTGGCACAGCTTTTAGGAAGCTGGAGCTGTTTTCGTGAGATTATGAAGTATTAGAATAGGATTTTCATTAGTTCTCTGAGTTCTTGAGGACTACATCAGATAATGAAAGCTCTGGAAAGCCCTTGAGCATGGGCTCAGTGTCAAACTGTATGCTTTCATCCCCAAACCAGTCTAATAAAGTCTGGTGGGTTTCATCACCAGGTTGATTGCAGGGTTTTGAATTTTTCAGCCTCAACAACTCTCACAAAATCTACTAAATTATGGAAGGGGATGGGTGATCTTTATAGGTGTGGGCAATACCTATAACAATGAAATAAAAAGTCTTTGAAGCATTGAATTATATGTATGTGAATACATATATATTTCTTTAGTAGTGTCTTATAGGCCAATGTCCACTAATAACTGATTAGTAATTTAATAACTGAATTAATAACTGGTTAATCCTATTCTATGTATTTGTCTTAGAGCCAACCAGTACTGGACTTGAAATCAGAAAGATTTGGGTATGAATTCTACCATTAGACATTCACTAGTTACATAGTTGAAATGAACATCCAAATTTAAGAGGTCACAGATCCATTTGAGAACTGGGATATCTGATAAAGAACGTTGGCTTTACAGCCAGAGGATCTGGCTTTGAATCTTGGTTCTGCTATTTAGTAGAGTAGCTAAGTGGCATGGTGAATAGAGTGCTGGGCCTGGAGTCAGGAAGATTCATCTTCTTGAATTCAAATCTAGCCTCAGATATTTACTAGTTGTGTGACCCTGGGCAAGTCATGTAACCCTGTTGGCCTTAGTTTCCTCATCTGTAAAATGAGCTGGAGAAGAAAGTGGCAAACCACTCCAATGCCTTTGCCAAGAAAACCTCAAATGGGATCACAAAGAGTCAGCCACAACTGAAAAATCACTGAACAACAACTCTGCTATTTAACAGCTTTCTGACTGTGGGCAAATCACTTAATCTCTCTGGGTCTCAGTTTCCTCATCTGTAAAATAAAGGAGTTGTATTTGATGACCTTTAAGGTCCCTTCCAGCTCCAAATCTATGATCCTATTAAGCTTGTATTAATACTTCTGCTCTTGACCTATTTAACATGACTGCTGCTTTCATTAGGGACCATTTGTACAGCAAGAGGATTGTTGTTGAGTTTGCCAAGTGATAACTTTGTTTGTGTACCTTAAGCTAATTTTAAAATTGGATTAAAACAAACTTCCCCTACACTAGCTTTGGAAAGAGCACACAAAACAGACACAAATAAGTAAATCACTTAGAATAAAAGGGTCAACATTGCTTTTAATCTCTTTAACTGTCCATTGTTGATTGACATAAACTGTCATTTCTGCATCTTAAAGACTTTTGAATCAGGAATGCTTGGCATGATGCTCAAACATATGGCAGAGCTCAATCAGTGCTGCTGCTGATGACACTGGTATGTCATCAACCCTCCACCCAATCAGGGAAGGGAGTACATATGGACCACTCTTTTAAGACATAG